CTATCGAAGAATTTTAAAATATATATTGTAATCGTAATTTCGTTAAATGTATTTTTGCTTAACGAGAAGTTATTAATTAAATGACAAATGTTATTAAATAAAACACAGTATGTAAAATATGATTAATGTATTGATTCGATCAATCGATACTTGTGACTTTTACAATCAATTATTGATAAATGCCCACCTTCACTGAATGAAGATCCCCGAAAAATGAATCAGCAGAAAAATGATGCAATAAGTGAAAAAAATAGACCTAATTCTAAAGGTCTTGTTATTATAGCAAAATGATATATATTCCAAGTACTATAATAACATCATATTTTTATTTTCAATAGCTATTTTTGACAAATATACTCGTAGTATATAATTTTTATTATGGTTGGAACGAGTAATAGAGAGAGTTTATATGTATTTTCACACAACAAGTGCGATTGAAACTTTCAAATATTTTACGACTTCCAACACGAACGTAATAATAATAATTATAACGTTGTCAGATCCGGACACTTTGAAGGAGGGAATAAAATGTATGTAATAAAAAAAAAATCACCAGCGGTTATATAGGAGGTACTCGAACGACTTGTTTCGGTCAATTAATCTCACGCGTTCTGGTTGGTGACCATAGACGACAACAACAGCTGTAGCTCTAGATGTTCGACACAGTAATAATTGTATAGAACATATTTTAATTGTTTTTTTTCTTCTTATTTACATACACAGGAATCGGTTCAAGACGTTCGATAATAATCAATGCCTTAGGTTTTGTCCTTGGTCCGGGTTGGAGGTTTGGCGTTTCTCTGTGCCAATTAAGTAAAACGCTCGACCGTTATTATTGCAGCTTAGAAGCGCATACATACAAACGTGTTATTACAAAACGTTTTTTTTTATGGCTTTTTATAGAGTCTGACATTGACCGTTTGCGCAGTGCATACATAGGTGGCCCATTTTCAGTTCAGCAATGTTATTGTCAGAAATGGCCGTGTACAAGGCGATTGGTTAACTACGACCCAGTCTCGGAAAATGGGATACTTTTTAAAATTATCATTTTTCATACTCGTAAAGCTGGTCTAACTTTAATACACTGTTCAAATATACAATCCCACCAATTTGAAATGTTAGTAACTTTATGAAAAAGTATTCAGAATTCTTCAGTAGTGTGCCAACCAATATTGTGTTACTCGATACATGTCAACCAGGAGTATCAGGATATATTTTCTTCAAAGATCATATCTTTCTTTAGAAATGTAAACTAAAACACTGTTCAGATTTCCTTAAGAAATATTGCATCTCCCAAGACATGTTTTACATGGGGAAAAATGTAATTGTCGTAGGCTCTTGGTCCAAATACAATATCGTCCCCTTGCTGTGACCCGTGTTTCAGGCCTGAACGTGGTCCAGCACGATAAATAAAAATATTATTAAAAACAAGACGCGTACAATTATTAAAAATACACAAAACCATACAACCAAATCTAGCTTAATCTGGTTAGTTTGTTCGATTTGCCTAACACGCCTATTATTTTGTGTAACTCTGTAGACTATGTCTATCGGTCGATAATAAAATAAATTAACAAAAAAACTTAACTCGGCCGATTATAATTCAGGTGTTTTATATAACATACATATACCTATAATAAAGAAAAACTCGCAATTTGCATCTCCTTTTTATTTGACACATTTTTTTTGTTGCGAATGACGCATGTCTATAGATCCTTTCGGTTAAACCCCAAGAGTATGTTATATTTTGCAAAAAATACACCTTACTGTTGTAAATCACACGAGGTTGGACGACATGAATAAATTTGTCATTTTAAGTTATTTATAAACATAAGGTTACCTTTGTTGCGTTCGAGTAGCGTCGAGCCGATATTATCAGTGCACCCGTTTTATGATTTTTCTTTATCTTAGAATTAACAATTTTTTTTTCACGTTTTGCTTAATTGTTTTTTTTTAAAAAAAGGAGTGTTGTATTTTATTTTCCCAACACTATATCGCCCGTGTCGAAGCAATTGTTTTCGAACAATTATTTTATGTTGTTCAGTGGATTTCGATGATACATTTACAAAACGCTCATAATGCGACTGGTTGTTTTGAAATTAAAAAAAAAAACAATAAAAATAGGTAGTACCTACTTTTAAGTAGTAAAAACATACTTATCCGTTATTCAACGTACTACACATATTTTATAGCTGTTGTTCTACGTAGGATATATTAATATGCAGAGTGATTGGAATTTGGATGATTATGGCCCAGTGGATGTCTTCAAAGATATTAGACTTTTTTTATGTTTCTTTTTTGTTATTAATATTTCGTACAATTTTGATAAAGGGTTAATTTTTGAAAAAATATATAAAAACAAGCTGAACTATGAAGTATGGAAAAAAAAATTTTTAAAGTCTAATCGAAGAGTCTAAAAGTCTTCTAAAATAGTGTCTGCGTCCCAATCGCCTTACATATCGCATCCGTGGTTCAAAAGTTACATATTTTAGTCGAAAAGTAACCAAATTGTATGTACTTGATTAGATGATTCCATTTAATTGTTTATCCAATTCTTACCGCCGTGATAACATTTTTCTTAGGACCGCCAGGGGCGATTGAAACGTCTTGAACAATGTTCAAGACCCACTCTGTAAAACAAAAACATTTATTGACATTTGGTATTTTCTGACACGCAGCTATGTGGTTATCTTCTATTATTTGATTTCATATATTTGAATGTCAGTCGCGCGCGACCCACAAAGATAATCGACATTCAAGTATTCAACAGCGATGTTTTGCACGTATAATATTATAACTTTATGTTGTTAAATAGCGTTGTGTACCCTTTTTGGTCCATACGAATTCTAAACGAATCCGTATCGACAACCGCGATTGCTTAGAACAATATGCTGCGTCGTTTGTCAATTGTCATTGTCATCGCCGACATATACCGCAACAATTAACAAAAAAAAACCCATTAGTATATAATATAGTAAACAGTATAATATAATTAAGTACAGTTTGGTCGATGAACAATTGAAAAAAAAACACCATTCGTTTGAATACACACGATAAATAATTATAATATATTGTTTGCGGACCTCAGACGCGGTAAGGTATAGCTGTTATTAACGCAGTTGTGTTGCTAAAAAAAAAAAATTCTAAAATTCTATATTATTCCTCTTCCGATTTCTAGTTCGCGTGAAGTAAACCGTAATTATTGCAAAACAGCGCTCGTCTTTTGTGTGCATAGTATAATGTATGCAAACAATAGCCTCAGCTGTCAGTCAGTCGACTTTCGAAACAATTGCGCGTCGTAGATTACACTAACACTACACTATGGCTCTAAGAGAGATATCCGTTGCGACTGGACCCTAGTGAAAATAAACACTATCAATACACCCAGAAGAGTGGTTAATATTTTTGTCCTTTTCGATTCGAAACTCCCAGGGTCATCCTCGACCTTCGAGACGGTATCCTTTCGTCCGTCCTGACCCAACCGATTGGATGACATGATAATGTGGAATACTTGTCGAGGGCATTGCGCACAACCTCTGCCGGTGCGATGTGTTCAGTGAAGATACAAACTAATAATAATAATAATATCCAATAAAAACTACAAACACACACTCGTATATTACGAACACGACATCGACCTCGTTAAGGTCATAGACTCTTGGAACGAGAAACTTATCAAGGTCCTCGGGTTTATTACCCGTATACGTCTGTGTGTATGTGAGCGCACTCGTCGTCCCGTTTGGATAAGTATGCGAAATATTTCCGCTTGTTTTATGGGTGATATATATATATAAATGTATAAAAAAAAAGATATACACATTTTTGTACAAGCTATTGTCCGTCTTGGGCGTAGGCGAATGGAGGATTTAGCGCAACGCGAAATAGGCTTTTATAAAATTATCCGGCCCGAAGGACCATTTTATATGGGTTCAGCGCGACAAAAGTGCCCGGTCGTCTGGCACTGCGTTTTGGTCTCATCGTGGTGTTAGGCTATCGGACAGGAACCTAATCGGTGGAAAGGTCCGAGCCAACAATAAAACGATTATTGTCGCGACGGTCGATGAAAGATTCATATTGTGCTTGCGATTAATCAGATTAAGCGCCTGCCGATGGCGCCGTTTTCAATTGACTGTTATAATAGTAACAAGCGCACAATCGCCGGCGCGTTATCGTCCATCCTCGTTGTCGTGTCATCGCCGAATAGTCTCAGTTTCGTTTGTTAATTATGGCGCTTAAACCGTAACCCGTCCGTCACTTAACCCGTTTCACCCGACCCGAATCGACATGTACGATCGAACACAAATCGCAACAAAAATATTTGTTTAATAATTAATAATGATAAAAAAAATAACCCGCTCGCGATAAATTGAATTGACAGTGTTTTAGCTTCGGTGCGTCGACGAAGAAGATATTGGTTTTACAATAATGAGCGCTTTTTTCTTTAGTATCTGTACCCACTGTAAATACTGGACCGATTTACTCGATCGGTATGTCTATAGATCACAAATTATATCTAGTCTATACTTTGGGGGGAGGAAGGTTTGAAAAATTTCACTTCTTCAGCTTTAAAAAAAGCTATACGGTTTTTTAACTTTATGATTTTGAAAACAATGGCTGTACCAAGTTGAAATTTGTAAAGAAAATTGTTTTAGTGTGCTCCTATACTTAAACCTAAATTACATCAAGTTTTCACCCCCCCGGGTGAAATTGTTCTTGTTTATTTCGATACGGATACTGGATTCCACTTCAGTAAGATCTTACTGTGCTTTGGTTTGGACTGTAGCGGTTCATACTGTGTTGGATTCTTACTGTCCACAGATTCGCAACGAAGCGTTTAATTTTGATGAAATCGCTTAGAGATTTTTTAATTGCTTTGGCCCTTTATATTGGTTTATTTTTATAAGCAAACTGTAATCAAGGCGAAGTGTATAATATAATTCGAATCGAAATTTAAAAAAAAGGGCTTAATTAAAAACATTTTTTTAAATTTCATTTTGCAGGAGTCATTCAGATATCTTACCAAAGGCGACTAATACTGGTGGTCTAAGCTTACGAAAGCGTAGCCGGATCATCATCTCCAATTTCGATGGGTTGAGAAGAATAACAACGGAGTTTCCAGAGCCTGGCAAGCCTATTTCAATAGACGGTTCAAGGGCCGAAGGAGACACATATTGGACATAATTTTTTTCGAACGTGGCAGGAAGAGGGATATTGACTTTTATCAGTTGGACGAGTACTGCAAGGTTTGAACCTTAGCCAAATTCTGACGAATTGAAACAGCAATTGGCAAACGATTGTAGTTATTTTTTTTTTCGCCAAATAAACGCATACGTTTATCGTTTTTTTTTTGTGCCGCAGATATACCGCAATGTTGAAAGTCGTAGGAGCGTCGTGGGCTCAAACGCAACTGTCGTGGTGTTTGATCGTCACAATCACCATGTTGGGCTTGTTGGCGTTCTATTTCGGTGGCTCGATCAGGTAAATTTAGATGTGAGTTGGCGGCAATTTTCATTTGGCCTGACCTTGTGTTTGTCGTGCACTTTATAGGGATGAAAACGACGGCAACTATGCGGCCACGGTGTTTTGGACTAGAGAAGCCGGAATGCGCATTAGTTTTTGGGGGCAAAACAACAATCCCGAGAAAATCCGAAAGGGCGTGGCCCGAGCATACTACAGGCCGGGTTTATTTGAAAATGGGTATGGGGCAAAGTTTGCTACGCTCGCAGCCATCTGTTCGGTAAAGTTTTAATGACCCCTTAATCATTTAGATGGGCCGTTTTAGAAATCGAGACGCAACATAACTATCCAGACACAGTGCAAGCTATGGCCGCCGGCTATTTGGAGGGTAGCCTGTCGTGGCAGATGATTCATTGGCATTGGCAGAACACGGTGGAGAACACGTGCGTCGGACGAAAGCGGTTTTGTGAGAGGACCAGGAAGTTTTTAGAGGAAAACACCAAAGAAGTGAAGAGGTTGGCCGAGAAACACGACCAAGACCCATTTTGGCATCAGGTAAGAGCACACCGGGGCCGTTGGCAATCCGATGAAAACTCGTAAGAACAATAGGATAGTGATTATTATTACTTTTTCCTTATTATTATTATTAATACGCAGGTCAATTTGTTCTACACTCAATTGAAAGCTCTGGAAGAAGGTTGGCGACAGGGGGTGAAGAGGAGCCGTCAGGATATCGACATACCTTCCATAGACTTCTTGTGAGTAGTTGGCAATTACGATCGGTTGGCGCGACCGGGACCCAATTTTTCGGGAACGGCTTTTCAAATTTCGAATCCCTTTTCTAATAGCACCATCAGTTCCGATTCCTCCGTTTGCCCCCCCCCTCCCGCGTGCCACTAATATTATGAAGAATTTCTCTGACTGTGTTGATGATTTTGCAGATGGATGAACATTGTGCCGGACCTGAAGGACTTCGAAAGGAAATTGAACAGTTCAAAAGACTTGAATCCCGACAGACCGGCTTTGTCCGTGGCGCTGCTGAAAATCACCGACGTCGATCCGTTCGACTACGTGTTGGCATCGTCGGCGTCCGGATAGTAAGTGGAAAGCTTTTCCTCCGCTGTACTGTGTAGATACTTACGGATTTTGTGTTGTTTGCGTTTCGCCAGTTACGGGTCCATGTTGCGGATTAAAAAGCGATACGATTTCGGTTATCGAATCAAAGGCAACGAAAACAGCCCAGTGGTCAATGGCAAGATAATCGAGTTCACGTCGTATCCGGGAACGATATTTTCGCAGGACGACTTTTACAGGATAACCCAGACCATGTCCAACACTGAATCCACCGTGGTGGGCACGCAGATCCAGAACAACAACAGAGTGCTATGGGAAAAGATCATGAAGCCGGAACAAGTAAGCTAGGGCACGCTTCCCTCTTGGGTGGCAAATCCATTTTTGATGCTGACCGTGTTGTGGCGCAGGTATTGATGGGAGCCAGGGTTATGGCGGCCAACCGGTTGGCAGTGGACGGCAAGACCTGGAGCGAGATATTCACGGCCAGAAACAGCGGTACCGGTAACAAACAGTGGCTGGTGCTCAACTCGAACAACGTGTCGACCGAATTTTGGGTGGTCGAACAGCTGCCTGACTTCACTTGCTCCGAGGACATGACGCAAGAACTTTTGTCCAAAGGCTACTGGGTCAGCAGCAGTTATCCCTATCATCCGGTTAGTACACTAAAACAATCTTTCGGATAAAGACATTGTATCATGAATATAACTATTTCTGTCTCCTCCCCTCACTTTCACTAATGATTAGTGTTTATATGACCCCGCCATTAAACATATTCATGTCAATGTCAACTAAATGACACTACTATGATGTAGGTTATGTGATGGCCCAGGATAATTCAATAACTGTAATTCAATTATTTGTTGTTTCGATGAAAGACTTATTTTGATCTATACATACTATATAGATTAAGACATCAACTTGAACATTATAATCTAAGTAATAAATACAGCTGCTAACAAATAAAACAATATATTATTACGTTTGCAAATAAAAAACATTGTCTATGCCAAAAAAAAAATTTGTGTAAATACTTTGGCCGACAAATGTAATTACATGTAAAAACCCAGTCATATAACAATTGTAATTTTGTTTATTTGCCAAAGTTAAATTCTAAAAATAGTATTTCTACTTGATTTTTTTTCTAATCAAACAAATTAATTTTTTTCTAATATTATACTAAATCAAAAGTCGGCTTTTTAGTTCCCACGGACAATATTTTATTCTTTTAAAAAAAAATATATCCGTTTAATACACTAAACAATTACTTTTGTGAAAGTATTTTTTCTCTAACTTAAATAAAGAAACATTAATGAAAAAATAAAAACAAAAAATTAAGTCGCGTAATATTTTTAGCTTATTAATATAAGCTAAAATAAGTTGACCCCTTTCCCTACCTCGTCACACAATTTAAGGGTAAATTTGAAAACCGACACCAAATTCGAAATCGGAGATCCCAAAACCATTTAAATTGAAGTATTTTTATAATAAAACTTGGAAGTAAATATTTAAAAAAAATATTTTAGCTTCGATGCGGACCTGAGAAGGTATTTTACAATGATGTTTTTATGTTTTCGAGAAAACGCTTCAATGCGAATCTGTGGATACTGAACACCGCTTTGGTATTTTTTTACTGTGCTGTATATTATATTGCGTTTGGTTTGAACTGTATTGGTTTAGACTGAATTGGTATAGATTATACTGCACTGTGTTCTAAATGTCTACAGATTCGCATCGAAGAGTTTTGACAATGATTAAATCACTCCTACCCCCTTGATTCGATGCGTACGATGCTTGTATTTTTACCATCACAGATTCGCATTGAAGCGTTTATGTAAAACTGATTTTATCACTTTCAATTGTTGTAATTGATAAAGGCCTGTGACCTCCCCCCGTCCAAATATGCTCCGTTCCCACTATGCCTCGACCATGCCACTGTGCTGTCTTTTTTAAGTAAAGATTTTTCTAAAAAAATTGCCTATACCGAACCCCTTAAATAATAGAAACCCGTGGCGGATGTCTCATGTGCGTATAACGTTTGCGTTGCAGGAAATCTTGCGGCTCAGCAACAACGAGAGGGACAACGAGAGCCCAGACCATCCGGTGGCCAACGTGCTGCACCGCGGCCAACAGAACGTGACGGACGTCCAGTCGATGGTGGACCTGATGCGCGGGCCGGACATGTCGTTGATCGGCCGCAGCGACCTGCTGGGCATCAAGACCAACACAATGTTCCGGCACTTTTGGAACCAGTCGATCGTCCGGCAGTGGGCCGCGGCGTCGGCGGCGGTGGTGGCTGCGGACGACAACCGGCTGCGGCGGCGGCCGGAAGCCGAGACGCGGCTCAAGCGCGGCCGGACCACCATCATCGTGGACGCCGAACTGCCCGCCGCCGCGCCGGTGGCCGTCGACAAGAACTTCGCCGGCATCGTCGACCTCAAGGTGGCCGCCGCCCGGACGCGCGGCTTCCTGGCGGCCGCCGGTCCGCCGTTCACCGCTGACCGAACCAAAGTAGAACCGTTCCGGTGGTCCGACAGCCCTATTAGACACCTGCCGCACCACGGACACCCGGACGTGTGGGCCTACGATCTGGCAGACACCGAGTGGGCGTGGTCCGGCGGACCGGCGGACACAGACGATTGAGGACGCGCGTCCTGCCTATTTTTTCTTTTTTTTTCATCTAAAAAAACATCACAAAATATATTTTTAAGTTCGTTTTTTTTAAACCGAAAAAAATCAGTTTTTTAATAATTTTCGAAATCGCCAAAATTTATTGTCGTGTAATGATAATAATATTATTAAATAATTATTTTTGCGAATTATAATAATATTATTAGGAATAGATAATTAATTAGATCAACTCATTGCTGCTGTTATTGTACTCGACCGAAATGTAGGTGATTTTTTTTTTTTTACACAAGTCTTTATAAACGTGATACTAGGGTATGGAATTTTTTTAGCTAATAAAAAAAAACTAATTTTAATCGCTTAATTTGAAAATTAGTTTATTGATTATTTGACGATAAATACATAATATTATATCTCTTGACCTATATCGTATAGTATCACGTCTATATATTTGGAATAATAATATTGTTCTTTTTCGAAAAAAAAGAAAAAAATCTTATATCTTTATTTTAAATACATGTTTTTTTTAACCATAATTTTAATAGATAGACTATTATTTTATTTTTACTTTATTTCGTCACCTGGCGCGTTAGAAATTTGGTAAAAATATAATTTTGTTTTTTTCTACACGTATTGTGTGATTTATTATTGAATAAAAATTATTTTCACTATAATAATATAATCATCGTATTGTGTTTGTTTATTTTTTCCAAATAAGTAAATCGTTATGGTTTATGTGGTTTTAATATAAAAAAAATCGCAACAAAATTGTTCAAAATCCAGCATTTTAAGATTTTCTTTTACTTAAATCATTTGTTATTTTTAAATTATAGTACAAGAATAATTAAGTACTTAAAACGCTATTATTTCAAAATGGATGAAAACTGATTGTCCGTTTTAAAAATAAAACTATTTGAATTCTTGTCCAAATGCGTTTAAGCACAATGACGAAACCAGTATTTACCCATTTTATTCTATAATGTTGTGGTTAATCAATTTAATAATACAGTAAATTGGCCGTCGAAACCGTAGCAAATATTATATTATAAATTTACTACTCCAAAAAAAATTAGCTGAGCAATGCTAAAACATAGTAACTGTATTTATCAAATTTTTATGGAGAACCGTTTTTCTAAAATAATTCAGGCTTCCAACTATGTAAGTGTGTTACCTACTTTAATGTGTGATGACTCCAGTTTCCTGAAATAATCGTTAGTTTCTAAAGATTATAATATTACAAGGTTAATAGATAATACCTATTTATAGATAATAATGTTGGTAACTGTATTATTAGCTTTGCTCAGCGGAAATGTAACGGATCTTTTTTTATCAACAAATTTTTATACAGTTTAATTTCGATTAGGTAAGTATAATTTGACAAATCAATAAATTCAATAAAATATTGTCGGATCGGAAACGTAGGTACATTTAAAGAAGTTCATTTGCGCGCCACTGGGATTCGTTTTGCCGGAAACCTGGTTCGGTTTCAGATTAAATTAGTGGTAAGCTTCTTTATCACAAAAAAATCGAATGATAACGAGCGTAATCTATGTATGTGGTTACCACAACGGTAAGCCGCTCGTAACCGCACTTCTGGTAAATTTAATGTATTCGGCGCGTAATCTGAAATTTTGAAATTCATTCCCCTTCTTTTTAACTCGCTAAATGCTAATGCCTAATCATTATAAAAATTTGTATTTTCAAGTTTCTAATAATCACAATTCACATATGGAAAACCGCATTACAGGCCGCTAATTAATGTTCACCGAGTTCTTTGAACGTTTGTTTGCAAAACGGTATAAATATTTACAAAGAAAAGAATTCCTTAAACTACACAACATGAACAGTTGCCTACGATTCACAAGTTTACAGCTCATCGGCAAGTTCTACTTTGTGGTTTTGAATGATGATGAAAATCAAGTTGACAAAAAAACTGGTATATAAAGACAATAATAATAATTTATCTAATCTGTTATCACTTATCATTTATGCAATAATCAATAATACAAGTAAACTTAGTTTAATATTACCTACTTTATTACTTTTTGTCTTTATAACTGACTCCTGTGTGATTCAACAAAATGTCTTTTAACCGCAAAACCGATCAAACTGTAACCAAACTGATTGCGATGACCGACGACATCGACGGCGATGAAGTGCTGTACATAAAAACAACAACGCAGGGTACCAAATGCGAAATGGTCAATTGTAAGAGCAACTCGGATGGTAATGTTTGCAAAAAATCCTATTTTAGATTTCCCAAACATGATTATCGGTGAGTGCACAATATACAACATATGCATAAATGCATAGTGTGACTACAACAACGTTAATCGGTCTATCGTTGGGTCCACAGTTGCAGTCAATGGGTGTTCGCATGTGGTCGACCTGATCTGGTCAAGTTGTATTTGAAACGAGGCGCAATGTTCATGTACAAAACAAGAAAAGTGTGCGAGGAACATTTCGTTAGAGCCGACTTCAGAAATCCTGATTTACTCAGTCAAGGGTAACATCTGATGCTGACTAAACATGAAAAATTGTCCCCCGTTTTAGTTCATCTTTATCGTCAATTTAAACTATATAATGACAATTTTTTCTTAGGTTATTCAATGATGTAGTACCTACAAGAAATTTACCGAAACTCACAACAACAATACACATAACACGCAAACATCAGCCAGAAGAGGACGCGACAACTTCGGCAGTCGCCGACGATGCGCCATTGAAAAGAAATCTGAGAGAGCGTAAAAGCAATCGATGTTGTTGCGATGCGCTTGAAACTGCCAAGAGAACCGTCAGAATTAAACGCTGTTCGAAGAAAAAAATACTAGTCATTGTAAAAACAAAACAGTCCCGCAAACGAGGTAGGCCGAAAAAAAATTAAATTGCGTGTAGAGTTTTCGTCAAAGCGTTATTACGTAAAAATGTTTTTATTAAATTATATTATGTATACATTTATAATGTTGTGTCTGAAAATAATGCTTGCGTATTATTTTCAGTCACTCTTTAAATTGTATGTATTTATAAATCTTATTGTAGGTCTTGTTTAACTAATATATTATTAGACATTTAAATGTATACTTTTTTAATATTATTATTAAAATTCATGATTGGCTTGTAACAATTAATTATAGAAAATAAACATCAACTATGACTATGTCATAAAATGGAAACGACAAATTATCTGTAGACCGTCAAAAATACACTTTCGCATCTCTACATAACTAAAAATCTTTTTAGTCATTTTTAAACTTAGAACTACATTTAAATTTAGAGCGAAATATTATTAATGCTGAATGCTGTAATAAATAAAAATATCTATTATTTTAGTTGTTTTTTTAAGATGTTTCTTGATACAGTAAAAATTAAAACTTGACAGGATCACCAGTTTCATCTTTATAAATTTTAAACGAAATATTTGTAACAGTCTATTCTATAAATAAAAAAAAGTCATATCAAATGGTTAAGTAATTAAAACACATCATTATTATTCTTTACCATCACTCGTTACAAAATATAACAATATTTTGTAGTTCATACAAAACTGCTACTTATGTTGTTTTATTATAACAAATAAATAATGATAACTTATATTAATAATAAAAATTAACATCGACATCATCCAATGTGTCTGCTCGACATACTTTCATGAGTTATTACTTGACCAACGACTATAGAAAAATCATTAAGTTAAACTTATCAAGTATTATAAAAGCTATATTATGTAAAACAGAAAAAATGATAATTTAACTTATATTAAATTTAATGTATACCTATTTATAGTATGGAATTAAAACGACAACAAAATCTTGGTTAAGAGTTTGATCGTCAAAAAAAATTTACATTTTTCAATGTAAAAAAAAAAAAATTTTTGCAATGAATAAAAATACCCTTAAAAACATTACGATTATATTACAATTTAATATACGTATATATTTTTTTCACTAATTTTATTTTAATAACGGACAGTAATAGTTATTGGTGAAGGGGATTTTTGGATTTTTTGTTTTCCTAATATTAACCGTTTGTCGTAAAAGAACTAAAAACTATAAAAAAAATCGTCTTGCCTTAAAAGAAATTCCTCAGAAATTATACAATTGGCGAACACAATTTATAAATATTATTTTAATAAAAAAAAAAAATACATATTTTTCAATATAAAATAAAGAATATGAGCTAAATATATGAATATTTCACGTTGAATATATTGTACAAATAGTGTTTGGGGAGACACTCCATACACCAGACGGCCGTGATAGTAATAATAGTAATAAAAACAAATTTAAAATTATTAATTTAAAAAAGGAAAGAACATCCAACGTCGTCTGAATTTTGATCATTTCAGCGTGATCACTCTGGTCTAGTCATCGCTTTCGCTTGCGCTCTAACGCGTTTGTCGTATTCTACACGGTTTTGGCTGAAAATGTAAAATAAAACACATTGTTATTACATAATTTACATTAAAAAAAAAAAATAATCAAATTTTGTGTTTTGATAATTTTATAATTCACAATTTATGATGTATCTATTAGGGTGGTGATCCTTAGTAATAGAGGTATAATTTCTTTCTCAAAATACTTTAAGAGAGGCTCTCCAAATTTGTAAATTAATTTATGTAATTTTAATAACCTATATATATATATAAATAGATAGAGAGAGCATTGCAGCATAAATCCTCACTAGAGTTTATATTTTCATCGAGTACAGGATGAGATATTCTTCTATTAAAAAAAATTAGAAAATAATGGTTAAGTATTGTTATAAATTCTTATTCAACATGATCTATTGATAATAAAGTAAAAGAAATATTAAAGGAGGTTACTGATAAAACAACACAGTTGTCTATAATAAAAGCTGAAGAAAATTTTCCAAGGTATGATTTTAAAACATTTTTCGAATTAATAGTATTTTTAAGAGGTATACCAATATGTGGAATTTGTTTTAAAGCACCTGGTGCTTATTAACTTGTATATTGAATTTTTGAAGTTATATTTTTGATAGGAAATATTATGATTATTAGCGATATGAGTTCCATACAAAAATAAAACATTTTTTGAGTTATAATGAAAAAATCTAAATACTATCCCCCCTTCCCACGAAGTTCAAATGTTCTACTCTTTAAGTGCACGTCTGAAGATTAATCAATAGAGATCAAATTTTACTTACATTATTTTTATATATGTAAGAACACAATTGAGGGGTCTCTAAATCAAATTTTAGAACTTCAAAAATAAGGACCATCCTAGTATCAATACAACCAAAAAAAAAAATTGTGTTTACCAGTAGATTGTGTATGCTTCGGCTTGTGCGGGATCTTTGATGTTTGGTTCATTTAGAAGATCTTGAATACCGAGTAAAATTTGCTTTATGGTGATTGCCGGACGCCAGTCTTTTTCTTCGTCTAACAATGACAAACACACGGTTCCTAAAAAATACAAGAAAAAAATTAGCTCTTCTCTGCTATAGATTTTATGTAATTTATATTGAACCTTACCTGAAGGGTAAACATTGGGGTGGAACAATGGCGGTTCAAATTTACATTTAGGTGGACTGGAAGGATAATCGTCTTTGAAGATCATACGCAAGAAGTACATACCACCTTCCCATGCGGTCTGTAATAACAAAATTAGTTTTTTTTTTTTATTGCAATACATTTTTTAAAATTAATTTCTCAAGTTAAAGAAAAAATATCATTACTATTAACAGATTAAGCGCCAAGCATATTTCACTAAAACTTCTCTCTGGACAAAGATTTTTTCATGTTATACCCATCATTTTATACTACCTACTAAATACATATCATCTATGAATTTCACAAATTTTTCTGTCTGAAGTAAAAAAAAAAAGTAGAGCGGACACCAGTATCCGCTATGGCGTTAAACCTGTTAATCCTAGTCGTATTCAACTATAACAAACTGTCAATACCTAGTTTTTATGTCCAAGTAAAAAATTTGTTAAATTAACTATTAGCTATTCGAATAAAAAAATTATATATAATCGTCATCTGATGGACTAATTTTGTTCAATACATAAAATTGTATCGTTAAAAGCGCTGTCACGGTATTAAAAAAATGTCACTTATTTACCGAATTCAAAAGATACTTCTTTTTAAATAGTGCTTCGAAATATAGTTGTTTAGATTTTGTCGGATACAGAAATAAAAAAACAGTGATTTTAATTTAAAGATTGCCCGTACAGTTTTTATTAATATGCACATGTGACGTCCTATTTATGATAAATGATAATACATTTTGTCTATGAAAAATAAATTACAGACAACAGATTGTGTATGAGCACAAATTAAAAAAAAAATATTTTTACAAATTAAATAATTAATGACATACATTTTTCCTTCCTGGAATATAGCATTCCCAAACCATGAGATTCATAGAACCGTCCGTGTTTTTTGCTGGTTTTGCTACAAATCCCTAAAAAAAAAAAAAGTGTTATTAGGATGATAAAAAATACATAATATACAATGTACCAATTTTTTGACTTCCGAAAAATCAATAGGACCTAACAACGGAGGCACATGGTATAGTAACTAAACACCATACCAAATCTGATCAATTCGGAACTAACGAATCAACGAGCTTTAATACATGGGTAGGTGTGCACCAAATGCTGAAAAGTGAGTGTACACAGACTTATGTACAATGTTTATATATTGAAAAGAGTAAAGAGAGGAGTATTGGAATTTGGTCAGTACAAAAAAGTACCAAGTCGACATTAGACTACACTATCATATACTAGAACAAAAATGAGATATTTGCATGGTATACTCATAATTTATCGTATAATTTTAGTACTTACAAACGGATGATCCTTTCTCCATCCTTTACGTTCTTCGGCTAGTCGAGTCAATGCAATACCGGACATTTTGCTAAAAAAAAAAAAAACAAGTAAAACTACTATTTTTATCTCTTAATTTAATTAAAAGAAATTAAAGGGTGACAAATAAAAAAAAAGATGATTAATAATATAACAAACTAAAAATACCGAAACCAATGTCAGATGTCGAACAATAATTTCGATTATACCTATTTAATGCTGATTCAGGGCTAAACGTGAGAATATATATATTGGTCAAACTTCCGTTTCTAGCCGTTTATCAAATGAAAAAACGTGAAAAAAAATAACAAGGTAGGTATAAGCGTTAAATTTAGTAACGACAAAAACGTTTACGGTGGTTTCGTTTGGATAATTAGGTATTACATTGATTATTGATAGGCCTTAATCTGACGCGTGATAATAGATTATTATTATGAATAATATCCGTTTACGGCACGAATTCCAGACAAATATAATATTCCTTAAGAATTTAAATAATAAGTCGCCGTTGTCCGAAGGAACTGTGCATTGTTATTGTTTCCCAAATGGTTTGCGCGGTCAATAATAATACGAGAACACGTTACGAGTGGATTACCCAGAGCGTATGGCCGAGGGAGATAATGGAGAAAATATAAAGAAAACGGCGTAAAAACCCAAAACGGTGAAATTATCGCTCTATTGCTAACCTCAGCGAATGGCACACGGCACAATTATTTACGAAGACAAACTCAAAATTAAATATTATATTATTATCAACTATAAAACACTAATATTTTATGACTAGCAAATAAAACTGAATATCGCGAGTGCAGCAGCAATTGACGCCAAAACGTTCCGACTTGATATTCTTTGTAAAATGTATATAATATACATATATATATATATGTTAAAATTGTATTATACATGTATAAAAGTCATAACAAACGAACATTATACGCAGAATCCAACCGCCAGGTCGAGCTGCTGTAGCGCGCGCTCTAACAGTGTGGCCGCGATGAGGGAATTTACTTGTTCATCCGCCTCCTAACCTAGCCTACTGTATTGTTTGTTGTTGCTATATTTTACGATTGACGGGAGCACGACACACAGCCACCTAAAATCGACACGGAGCCACTCGACAAAAAGCCACCCGAAGGAATACTAACATGTACAATATTGATATAAAATGCACGATTATTATTTGTGAATGTTGTGCGGCCGACACCACGTTTCATAACGGAGTAATATAATTGGATAGAAAAAAATGTAATTTCTATAATGTATAGTAAACATTGTTATTATGTTAGTTGCAGACATTTCAATTTATTCAACAGCATTTATTGTTAACTCACGCTTTTAATAATAATTATTATGTTTCTAAATAATTGTACTCTATTATTATGAATAATTATACATTTGTATATTAATGATATTTATTTATTATTATAATACATAGATATATTATTGTTATTGGCACTTTAAAGTCGGACTCGACAAGAAGAAGACCATGTAAATAAATAAGTTTTACATCAAACTCTACGTGTAGAAAAATAATTTAAATTTTAGTTCGTTTTTTAAATAGATTTGGTTCTATGCGCCTTGTATACATACATAATATAATATATTATTATATAGTAGTATCATACACTAAAATAATTATATAATTTAACTTAGTAAAATTTAATCATATAAATTACATAGGTAGGTATCATTTATTGAACTTATGATATGCAGATCTATTAGAAATATAATACCTACTTCCGAAATTCAAATAGGTTTTTATTTTAAAAAAACAATGGTATGTACAAACAATTTTAAAACGTTTGTAATAAAATACGAATGCAGTACACAATATAAATGTATAATAGAACATAATAGTTTTAAAAAAAATCCTGGGCGCATACTTAATAAATAATTCTATTCTGTATAGCTTAAAATGTATAGCAAAATACAAACGATAATAATATGTTTGGTAATTCGTTATGAAGATAATATGATTGATTTTGGGCTTTGGCTAGATAGTAAGTATATTCGTTGCATATAACTTATGTACAAACAAGTTTATGTTTTGTAACAAAATATAAAGGTTTAGAAAAAACAAAACTTTTGTTCCCATAAACATTTTTTCCATTTACCAGTTGTTCCAAAATATTATAGGATGAATTGTTTGTTGGAATAAATGTATTATGGAACAAACTCATTTGGGAAAAAAAAATGTGGATCAAATGTATATTGGAACAATTACAATTTGGACAAAACGTCCGTTCGCATAACTGTTTAGCGGGAAAAACGACGGTTGGAACAAATATTCATTGGAACTATGGACCTATAAAGAATTCTTTATAGGTCAATGATTGGAACAAGCCATAATCTTGTATAATAATGTCTTTGGAACAAATGTCTCATGGAATAAAACATTTGTGGAACAAAATGTAGTAATCCGATTATATTATCAGGAATTTGGAAAAGATAAGTAAAAATGTATATATTTAAAAAAATACGTTTATAACATCTAGATGTTCATCGTAAGATAAGGCGCCCCTAAATTAAATTTATCTTTTCAACAAAATAAAATTATTCAATAAACACGTTGCATTTTTGATACAATGCACACTGAAGGCTTAAAACATATTTTAACAAAATTATGTAAATACTATTTTTGTAACACAATATTTAAAATGATATTGGACACATTTGACAAAATTGTATGAATTTTCAATTTTTATTTACTTTATGGGACCGTATTATTTTTTACTTACCTAGAGTAGTAGAGATAATCTAATAGTTTTTAAAGTCGAGCATTTTGTCTATCTCTCTGTTTACGAATTAGTGCCGACGGGGTTTGAGTGGGTAAACATTTTTGAATTTTAGCTAGTTTCGCGCGCCATCTGGCCGTTGCGTTGGCTCCCCTGAGTCTTCCAGGTACGCGGCTCGGCCGCTCGGTGTACATAATAATTTGACCGGCTCCAGACAGGTATTCGTGGCCGGAGTTTGGCAACACTTGGCGACGATCGTTCCCGGAACCGCACAACATGTCCGTCGGCTAACCACGCGATTTGCGGTGCGTGTGTATGTGTTTTATTTGTGTAGTTTGTGAATTATAAAAACATAAATATTTATACTGTTAAAAACTCTATGTGTCAATAGACAGATTTTTTGTTTGTATTTTTCCGCCGTTTGATTATCAGTCGGGGACGTGTCGCCTAGATTTTGCCTTTGCTGTTCGACGTCTGTCGTAATATAATCTAATAAAGGTCAGTAACAACGCAAAGCCGCTAACGTCGGCCGTGCGACCGGCTTTTTAGGTTAGCCGAACGACAACAAAAGGTCAACGTTGATTTCGTAGGGCAAAGCTCAAAACGCATCGCCAGTTTTCAACCCGAAACTATTTAGAAAACTTACAAATGTGTCCAAACGTGCAGTTGGTCAAAATTCGTCCGGTACGGATTAGGAAAATCAAACATCCCCAACAATATCACTTTCGTTTTTTAAATGTAATTTTACCCTTATATTAGATATCTCGAATACCTGAACCTTTTTAACGACAGTAGTATTTTTTCACGACCGACACAACTGCTGTAGTTGTTTTTGTATTTTAATTTTTTTTAATTTTTATGAATGATGATGTGGTACCTTTTTTGGCAACTATGAATGTTTGCTTTTTGCTGACTGTAAAATTATGTTTATCTACCTATTAGAAATTCTGGTATTTATAGGCTTGTTCATTATGACTTGAATAATTTAAGCCGTTGGTATCAAACTATTGGCCTAAATTTATACCATTCAAAATGTACATTTATTTCATTCTGACGCCATAAAAATAAAGTACTTTCTAGTAATTATAAAATTAATGGCCATGATCTCAAAACAATTTTTCAAGTCTATGACCTAGGCTTGTTATTGTCAGAATATTTTAATTTTTCTGAACATATAAATTACATTTGTTGTAATGCTATTGGAAATGTAGGATTTTTAAAGTGTTCCTAATTAACGCATTCTTAATATTTGTCAGTGTAATATGTATCCTTTAAAATATCAGTTCTCAAATTTGGTTCAGTTGTATGAAATAAATGAGATTAATTTCAAACTACCAATTCTTAATGCATGTACACTCTACTTTTTATATTCCATCGGTAATCTATCATTAATCCATTGGTAATCTTTTGTAGTACAAACTGTAGTACTATAATAATAATGTAAATATGATGAATACAATCTTTTTCTCTTTAACTTTATTAAAATACCAATAATAATAATATAATAATATTGTAAAACATAAAATAATTTATCTACCAATGTTTGCCCCAAATGTCAATGATTTTTTTTTTTTTGTTATAATTTTTGTATTATTTGTTGTTTCTGTAATTTTTTTTTGAAATATTAATTGCTTAAACATAACGTGCGACAAAGGACAAAATCATATTATTCTCCTATTGAATTGTATCCATTTAATTCCTGACTTATGTTTTGAATCTTACGTTAATTAAAACTGAAATCAAATGTCCATATAATAAATATCATCTTGCGACATCTTGCATGCGAGTTGAATTTTTAAATTTAATTTCATACTACCTTAGCAAATTTTATAAATTTTAAATTTTAATAGGCAAATAGTTGTCTACTCAGAAATATGTACTTAATCCAAAACTAGTAGAGTGTCAGGAAATGTTAAAACATAGAATAAAGATTATATTATTTCAATATGACTTTTTATGGTTAGATAGGTAAAATGTATAAATATATTGTTTATAATTACATTGAAATCTACATTTTCATAGTTAAGCGACTTTAGATAAGAGTATCCTTTTAAATATTTATCACAGGGCTTTGTTCATTTTTAATATTAGGTATTTTGGGTTTGATTAATCAATGGGTTAAAATTGGTTACAATTTGGGTTAGGTTCTGCCTGTGCAGGGCAAATGAGTTAAAAAGCTGTATATTCTTAAAAATAATTATTAAATTATAATTTGTGTAAATCAGTAGCTGTGAGTTTGGTATTATTGGTTTTATCATCTCTGTCAATAGTAGGAAATTATAGGAGTGATGTGAATTCACAGCTTACAATTTATTTTACTTTTCAGCGTGCACAAATGTGTTTTGTGATGCAATCAATTATCTATACAATTTCAAACTTCTTGTTGATTATTAAAAATTCTCACAATTGTAATATTTAAAAATAGTCTGTAGCCGTGAGTTTTTTTATCTATGTATGGGCTGATTGCTAAATTATATTGTACTTACAATGATATATGAAATTAAATTCAGTAATCACTGATAGGCAATATCGAACGAGCTATTATGGTTAGTAAAAAAAAAATTGTCTTAAAAAGCATTATTTAGTTTGATACAATTATAATTAACTGTACCAAAATTGTACGTTTTACAATATTAATATATTATTATTAAACTATAACCTATTTGTTTTTTTTTATATTTTAATGTCATTTTGACTTTAGACTTTGTAAAGAATAATATTTTTGTATTAACTGTGAAAAAGTGTGTACCTAAAATTCTAGGTAAATTAAGGGGAACAGAAAGCATCAAACTTCATACAAATAAAAAGACTTTCTGAATTACTACAGTGTCTACACAATCGATTTAAAAATTATGTTTTGTTATAAAGTTAAGTATCTTTTCTATAGGAGGAAAA